CCCTTTCCCTGTGCCCCCCCCCCCCACCCCCGCTCTCACCCGGAGTTTATCCCCGAAAACGTGCGCTACCACGGATATACGCGAGAGTTTCCTTCTCGTTTTGCTTTCTCGCGACGTTCGTTATATATATCGCGTAACATGCTGCAGTCGCGTCACTAACGAGATACAAGATCTATTGACTGACGTTCAAGTAACTAAGTGTGCTCGATAGTATCGCGCGCAATCCGTACCCTTTACTGTCCCGTTTACGTCTAGAATCCGGACTACAGCGACGAGCGAGACGAGCGGGGATAGAAATTTCGACGAGTTCCGCATATCGAGTTTGCGAACCCGCGTGGGAGTACTTAACTTTAACTTTGGATTTACATTCCTCCGTTTGTTACATCGTCTTCTATACATCGTTACTTAAAGAATCGTCGCCGCTAGAAAATATCCCGTGTGTCATAGAAAAAGTCGTCGTTTCTTACGCTTATTCGTCGACCGGTGTCTTTCTCACGTCTCACGATGAGAACTATACGATTCGAGCGTTATTATTATTATTACTAGAGCGTTTGTTTATTATTAATTCCTAGCCTCGTCCGTTCGTTTATCGTGATATCAAGTGCCGTGCTTGAAGAGCGAGGACGCGAGAGACGGAACGAATAATTAACCCGGCGGCCGTGGCGCGGAAGGTAGATATAGGTAGATAGGTTATTGCGGCCCATCGACGTCTTTATAAATAAATTAACGGAACGGAGAATCGCCTGAAATACATCCGATTTGGAAGCGACGTGTCTCGCTTGTTGTGTAACCGTCGAGGCTCGAAACTGTTGTGTGTGTGTGTGTGTGTGTGTGAGCGCGAGATTAATTAGTTAACTTAAACGATCGAGTTCTAACACACCCTACCGACTGTGAGTCCACGAGTGTTTTTCCACGGCCAGAGAACGTGAGTTTTCCGTCCAGCGCGGCGAAGACCCGGCGAAGCGAAGCAATGCCGGGTCACTGGTACTGGCCGTTAGAGGTACTCGACGATGTCGCATTTGATGGATATATTCGGGCAACTGGCTATGTTCGAGCGATAGCCCCGCCTGGCAGTGCTCTTATGCCGCTCGGTGAGGAGCTTCTGAAAGATCGGCAGGATCGTCAGATCCAGCAGTTCACCGTCTGACACGGCACTGTACATCTTCGAGACGTTCACCGCGGAACCACCTGTGAGCAAATCACGACACCAGCTCGAGAGAGTTGTCGCGACGATACCGCGTATCGTTCACCGGCCATCCTCGTCACAGACGCGCCAAGATCGATCGGCCTTTGTCGCGCGGAAAACAGGCTTTCATATAGATCCGTGACACACAACGGCTGGGAGCGACCTCCGTACGCGAAGCCGAGGCCGATTTTCGTTACCGATCGAGGATGGCGTCTTCGGCACGGACTGCCGATTGCTCGATTTTGGCGCGGATGCAACGGTATATCAACGCTAACAACGTTACCGTTCACGTCGCCAGTCCCGCCGCGCGGATTTACCGCCGCGTGTTTGCTGTTGTGCATCGTCGCCACGTTCGGGGTGCTCTGCACGTACTCCAGCCGTGCCTGATGGCGCAGCTTCGAGCCCGCATGCCGGCACATGCGACGAGCGACACGGTGCGAGCACTCGACTATGGGGTGACCGCCCCCGATGTGCAGCCGCAGACACTTCTCCCGCGAGCGCTCCGACATGGAGCGCTGGATGATGGTCGACATCGACTCCTCGTATTTCTCTGTTAACAGAACCGCTCAACGTATCGCCTCACGCCCGTACGCTCGTAAAATTTCCGTCCGTTGCAGAGAGAGAGAGTGCGGATTGTTCGTGAAAATCTCGCGAATACTGCACGATTGTAACCGATAGGGAACAGAGAAATCGGAATTCCTCGCTAATATTCGATTTTTCCCCTTCAAGAAATGGGTGAGGCGGCTCTTGAATTTTCTCACGCTTTCCACACAAAAGTTACATTTATATTCGCGATTTCCGCGGTCCTAATTAATCCGGCACATGCGTGCTCCATCCCGGGACGGTGGCGCAGAAAGAAAAGGAATTCCGTGGATTCTTACCGGAATGCCGATGATTCGGCACGTACTGCAGCGGAAACGGCATGATCACTTGTTCAATGTAGCTTTGTTCGTGAAGCTCGCCGAAGGAGACGTTCTTGGTCGGCGGCGGCGTCGAGAGTTTCGCCCGGCGTTCGTCCCTGCTTCTCCTCACGTGGCACACGTGTCTCGCGATCTCGGTTTCCTCCAGGATCACGGAGTCGCTCTCTTCGACGACCGGCGGCACGAAGTCGTAGCGCGTCGTCGTCACGTCGTTCGGTAGCGGCTCCGGGCTTCTGTTGTTGCGGAGCAGCAACGGTTCGCCGTTCTTGCTCGTCTCGCTGGGAACGCTCTTGCGTCGCAGCGCCTCCGCGCCGCAAGTGTGCTGCATCTGCGCCATCGTCGCCGCCGTCGTCGCCGCCACCGTTGATATCGTCGTCATAGTCGTCGTCGTCATCGTCGTCCTCATGGTTGTCGTCGGCGGCGGCGACGGCGGCGCGTCCGCCACCGTTTCCAGATCCGGGGAGATGCTCTTCTCGATCACCTGCGCCGTCATAGCCATTCGTTCGCTGTCGATCGTGATCGACGTGGTTTTCGCGATGGACGATCTCTTCCTGCAACAAGCGTCACGCGACTACTCTGAGAATGGACGATGAATCGCGTGCACCCGGAGTCTCTCGGGGAAAAGTGGACGGGGGGTTGGTGGTGGTGGACAGGGTTATTGAAGTGTTATAAAGCCCTTAAGGTCGTAGAGCGACGTCGAATGTGCCTACGTACTTTGCTACTTGATCTACGTTGACGTAATCGCCCTCCGGTTGAGACACCGTTGACGAGTTTAGGCTGCACATGGACATTGAGATATCGGTCGTCTCTGTAGTTATCGACGGTCCTGAAAGTTTGTACGATTTTTACTTATAATTAATTATGAGGGATAATATTAACCCTCCGTTAATCGGGAGAATAATTTTCACCCATGAATAGCTGCGGTGTATCTCGCACAGGTACACTAATTTGTTCATTTCCTCTGCTTCTTGAAACAATTTTTCCTTCGTTAGCATTTGGCTGATAGACCAGAGACTGAAGTGCATAAAGAACAGTGAAGAACAAATTGACAAGCATTAGGATGGTATCTGTTGAATATTGCGATTAACGGAGAATTAAATATCGCTCACTGTTCGGACAAGTACTAAGTGGGACGCGTACCCTCCTTTTTAACGACTTCTTCCTGCTTCGGAACCGGCAACGTGTCGACCGTTTCTTGCGCCTCGCTCACGACCTCTTCGCCCATCCTTCTCAAAAATCCCTGTAACAACGAAACAAACGCGATGAAATCACTATTTCTCTCTTTCTCTCTCTCTCTCTCTCGTCGCCGTCGTCCGATGTAGAACATCATTCTGAATTAAGCATTACGTAAACGTGCGGCCGCTGGTAGCATATCTCCCGAAATAGTTCCAGATCGTTATTCTCAAAGGGCGAGCTACACGAAGCGACGACGTCGCGGTTATTTATAACCGAATTAAGAATGGATGGTGCGTCGCTCGCTTTTCTGTTAATCGAAGATCGCGGTCGTCTTCTCTCAAATTAGTTGAGTGCTCGGGCACATTGTTTTATTAATCAGCATACAGTCCGTTAAAGGAGTGTTTTAGTGAAATTGCCCGAAGAGATAGGGATAGGAGGGGTCTGGCTAAACGCAACCGGACAATTATTATTACGTAAAACGCGTTACACATCTTTTTCCCTCCGTTGCGACTTGATTATCGACAAGATTCGATTCGAACTCGTCGTGAAATCTGAAGGACCTCACGAGCTCTACGAGATGACAGACTAACGTTACTGCATAACGTACTCGACGAAAGCACTTCGTAACTCCGACGGAGTAATATTTACCGTAATACTGTTTGAAAGTTTGATGGACGGTAAAAGCTTACCTGAAGCTCAGAATCTTTTTGCAACAGTTGCTTCCGGAATTTTTTATTCGCCAGCTTCGCTTCCTTCAAACGCTCGTCGAGTTCGCTGACTGTAGAGTCCCTTCGTATCTTCAACATCGGCCTCAGAGTTGCCCTGGTCCGCTTATTTATCGCTCCCTGTGGATTTCTGCGTAACTCTATTACCTGAAATGCAACAAGGCGTTCCTTATCACGAGGAACGCTCTCTCTTCCCCCCTCCCTCTCTCTCTCTCTGAACGATACACGTACAGTTGAGATGTGACGCGCGAACCTACCTTAGGAATAAAAACCAGACAAAGAGTGGCTGTACTACAAAATATTATGAACACCGCCAGCATTATGAACATGGCATCTTGTTTGTCAGTCAGCACGAAGCTTATAGCCGCGCCGGTGACGCACATTATAACAACGTTGTACACGCTCATCCCCACGTATTTACTGTCATTTAATGCTGGGATACTAACGTGCCGCGTTTCCCATGCCAGAAAGGCACCGAATATCTGAAAGCCCGGCAAGAGTCCCATTGGGGATGCCATTCTGTCTGTCCGAGAGGTCGGGCTCGGCGAATTTGAGCTTAACTTACCATTAAAAGGCCTTTGTATGCATATATGCATCCCAGAAAAATATGCATCTGATTGCTCTGACAATACTCGTTTTCCGGGATGATTATTATGTCCTCGCTCGAGGGGTGGTGCTGGAATCGAGAAGCACAACCGGGTTCGTTTTTTTTCTCCCCCGCGCATATTACATATATCACGAATCGCGAACGCGGATATCGACAGTCGCTCGTGTTTTTTTCACCGATCTATCTGTCGCATGCATTTTTCACTCGCTTGAGCTTTACTCACATAGGGCTCCATTTGCTTGATCTCCCGATAGAACGGATCGGCCACTTGCCACGTCGTCATGATCGTCAGATCGATAGCCAACAATATCCCGACCACCATGAACAATTGGTAATCTTTTATCACCTGAATCGATGGTATATGGATAGTATTCGTTATGTAACGTTTAAAAACGCGAATGTAATATTCCGATGTCGAGTAGCGCACGGCCGATATCGGCAGGGTCCGGGGCTTTACCTTCTTATTGAGCTTCACGTCGGTGAATATGGAGTGCACACGCCACGTTTTCGAGAACATGGAGCCGAAGGCTAACGAGAAACCGGCCATCAGCAGCCACGCTCGGGCCATGCAGATGGCCGGGAATGCCGTTACGCTCGACAATTGCGAGTCCAGTCCGAGAAAGATAACGCTGCTGTAGGTCAGCATGCAGCCGACGATGATGAGGTTGTTCAGGTGGGGCGACGACATTTTGATGTATCTGCAATATTTAGTTTACGCGTGAGACACGCGCGGACGAAGGCGGGGGAAAAAAGTAATCCCCACGGGGAAGCCGAATGGAGGTTCCGTGTTACGCGCGGTTTCTGTAATTGTTACGTATTACGGCGGAGCCCGTCACCTTTGATGCCGGTATCTGATATTGATGGCGAGAAAAATGGATGCCAAGACGATACCGACACTGGCGGCCGAGGCTAGCACCGCGTACAGCGTGATGTCCACGGTGGAGTGCTCGATGATGCGAACGGTCCTGTCCTTTGGCGGCGCCCTGCCCTTCCACAACAGGGCTTCCCCCCGAGTGAGATCCAGCACACCGGTTATGCTATCGTATTCGCCTACGTTTACCTCACGGCCGTCTAGAAAAGGGTGAAGAACTCACGTTGAACCGGGGACGCGCGTGTCTCGATACGGTAATAGGATAAATAGGCTTGAAGCTCCTATCTCGGACCAAACACCTGTTTCGACTCCCATGCGATTCTTTTTTCGGACAATTCGGATTTATAATTCGAATACGTTTCGGCAAAAGCGCACGCGAGAAACGCGTATGCGCGTTTAGCCGTGAAGTATATACGCTGGATTTGGAAATAACCGTTATAATAGTATCCGTCTCTCGTTTCAATTAAAGTTATAAAACGAACGGGCGTGCGCGATCTCTCGCTCGGTGTGCTTTTCGCGCGAATCTTTGCGTTTAATTAACGATGCTGGCAACTTTGCCCCCGAGATAGGCGCTTCGTCCCTTTAAACCTAAAGATTTTGCGCTAGTTTATATCCGGGGGGCAACTTACTTTGGAATTGTTTTAGAAGAATGTACGCTTTCCTCTCGTTATCGTAGAAGCGGACTGGCCCCTGTAAATTTTAAATTCCTAACATCCACGTCATCATACCGAGTATATTACCACGGACGGGGTCGCGGGGTGTATCGGATTTTAAAATAAAAATCCCGTTCGGCGATTCCGGTACCAACTCATGTCAATTTACTCCGCTAACTCGCCCGGTGGTTTGTCATGCTTTTGATTTCGTTTTAATTTCAATTCGGTTCACCACCGAATACCGTTCTGCCGTTGTACTATCGCCGCCATACACACGTTCGCGCACACGTACACAATATATCCTTTTTCATCGCATAACGTTATACGAGGAATATTAAAACGTGCTCAATGCATAGCGTTACGCGGAACACCGCCGCGTACTACGAATGTAAAACGAGGATATAAAAGGAGGAAAAAAAAGGGGGATGGGGTGGGGAAAAGGAAAAAGAGGATGAAAAAACTGAAGGAAGAAAAGGAAAAAGAACTCATTAAATTCACAACACCGCCGGTCGCACGAGAGAGAGAGAGAGAAAGAGAGATGCATGTAGAAAAATGATGCATGCTCTTGAGACACTCGGGTGCGAAAAGACGGTCAAGTGTAACACGCGCGTCGGGTGCAAGTGCCATGATGTTGATTACCGGAGAATACAGCCTCGTTCCTCATCTCTCTCTCTCTCTCTCTTCCTTTTCCTCTGTCTAAGACAGGCACAAAGTGCCAGCGACCGTCGGGCCTCGCCGCCACGATCGAAGGCAAGGGTTGCCGCTCGTCTAATGAGAGGGAGCTTAAAGACCCCGCTCTCCAATCCTCGCTTTTCTTTATAAACGTCTTCCTTCGGTCGACTCTCCCTCTCGTCACTTTAAATGAGTTCCCCCGCCCCGCAACTCCCGGGAGGCAGTTTCGTGGCGACGTCGCGCGAGTACTTTTATACCCGACACGAATAACAATGCGATTCGGAAGCGCGAGCGACGCGAATCGATCGATCACGCGAAAGAAAAAAATGCTTCGCCACGAGACACAAAGAAAGAGAGAGGGGNGGGGGGGGGGGGGGGCTATCGTTGAGCCTGGACTATGGGACGCGATAATCCCAATAAAATTTGTCCCCCTCCGCGCGCGCGCGAGATATTACGACGGTACGGTTCTTAGCGTTAAGAGCATCGCCGTCAACGGCATCACCCGACTGTATATTCGGTGCACGAAGGGGAAGCACGAGCGTTGCGAAATTGCTAGGCCGGCCAGCTTACCGTGACACCGTCGAAGCTTGTATTTCTTAGGGCGTCGAGGAAGAGCTTCTCCCATAATACATCCCTATATCTGAAGTCGGATATAGTCTGGTTACGATGGAAGTGTCGTATCCTGCGCGCGACGTGTTTTACGGCCAGGGCGACCGTCCAGATACCATCGTACGTGTATCCGTGAAACCTGGAGTACTCGCCGCCCCGTCGTGAGTCGTATTCTACCTGGTATTGTTCCGGGGTCTGCAAGGAGAAACGCATCGAGACGCAACAGGCGTGCTCGCAGGGTGAGGAGAATTCAAAGAGGCGCGACGTTCGTCGTTTCCGATTGAGCGGCTCTCGAACGCTCCGGGCGCGATTAAACGCGATTTTCGCCAACTCGTATCCCATCGGAAATACCTCCCTGCTGCGACGTTATATGCGGGCACACGGAGCGTGCACAGCAACAGCCACGAATCCCTCGTCCAATTCGATTTTCCGCGTGATTCTCGCGAGACTGCGCCCGGTGCTGCTTACATCGCGGAAGAAATATTATTCCGTCCGCGATTTCGCGAGAGAGGGAGAAATATCAACTTCGAGATCCGCCGTGCTGACTCCGCAGCGATCACAAAAGCGTCGTAATTTCGCAGTGTCGCGACCAACTTTCGGATTCTAATTCAAAGTCCAGCCGCTCTCCCCCAAGTTGAATGGGATTTCAACCGCTCACGGAGCAATCCGAGCGGCTTTAATCGAAAACTAACCTGTGATGTGTGCGCGCGCGCGCGTGTATATGGAGATAGATGCGCTTACGATCCCGTATGTGGTGGTCTGGTGCTCGGTCGTCAGCGGAAGTAGATCCGTCAGAATGACACCGTGAAGAGCCTCGGAGAGCTCGGAGGGTGCGCATCCGCCGCCCGGTCGCAACCACCATTCCCTCGTGTAAGTCCCGATGATGACCCACTGGTATTTTCTACCGTATATGCCGAAACGGTAAGCCTCGCAGAATATTCGCCTGGCCCACGCTTCATTGAAATTTCCCAGGAGGATTCTCACGTCTCTCTCCTTAAGCTTCTCGAGGGCCGTTGTCACCTCCGTGGCGAAACTCTGCGTCTCCACGAGTTCCACCTTGCTCTCGTCCAGATCGGCGAGCAGCCGGTTGTGCACCTGCAAAAGCGAACCAACGGGCGGAGACGCGACGGGGGTGAGAGTGAGCCGGAGAAGCAGGGAGAGAGAGAGAAAGAGGGCTAACCGCTCTGCTTTCGCAATTCGAGTGCTTATCGCGAAAGCGCGCTTCGCTATAACGCGCGAACGCGTTCGCGCGTTTAACTTGTTCACACGAGCCGCTAGCGGCGGCGAATCTCCATTTATAATGTAAATGGAGCCGTTGCTGAATATACATCACCGTCCTGCGCGCGCGCACGTAGAGAACGAACGACGCGCTCCCGAGGCGGGGATTAATTAACCCTTTCATTTCCCCGAATTGTTCCCAACCGTCGAGAACGCTGTTTGAGCCACTTTCTCAATTATATTTGACATTTAGTACGATAAACGTCAATTTTCTTTTTTCAATTCCGTTATTCCTTTCGGCAAATCCTTTTCTTTCTCTCTCCCTCTCTCTATCTCCCCACTTTCTTTTTTTATTCGACTTTATCCGAAGAATTTGATACTAACGTATCACGCGACCATTCGTCAAGGTGTGTTCGTCTTACCAATGCGTATCTGGGCTCGTTCTGATAAATCGTTCCGACTCGGGTCCAGTTGAAGTGCAACAGCAACGCCACTCGCGGTGCATTCAGGGCGTTTTCGGACGGTACGACCCTAAAGAAATTCGGGAAGCTATTGGTTGTGAACATAGGATGGGTGTCCGCGTAGCTGAGCTGCAACAGTAAGGGTAGAGAGCGAATGTTGGTAAAGAATTGCATCTCCTTCGCGAATGTCTGTATCTCTCACTGTTCCCGCATGTGTGTGTGTGTGTGTTTTTGCGTATTTATGTAGGCGCGCGCGCGAGTATGCAAACAAGCCGGGATAGAGGGTGGACGGTCTCTCGTTTGCCATGAATATTTACAACGACATTTTACCATCTCATTACCTGCGTAAGGCGCCAGTGTTTCGAAGCTTTCGCTATTGGGTCCGTGACTTGTGTGCAAGCGCCACCGAAAAGTATCACCTTGTGCGGTCCGTTGTGCATCATGTCGAAGAACGCCTTCATCCCGACGGCTGCGCTACACTGCAAGATACACAAACGAATGGAATGGAAACATCGCGACAGCCCTCACTTCCGATCCTTCCTCCGTAGTGGTTAATCTAGTCTTTGAAGTTTCGTGAGTCGTAAAGCGCCGAAGACTGAGACTTAAGTTCGAAGGAAATCGGAGACAAGTCCGCGTATCGAAGGGGATCAGTTTATAATCAGTTAAGGATATGCGCAATATCCGTATGTAAATATTGTCGGATGCATCGCTCTCTTTCTCGGCCCTCCTCTCGCGTTTACACAGTATATTTACATCAGGATGGAAAGTGATCGTTTCTTACATCGAAAGCCCTCTTTGATATTTGCAGAATCAACAAGTGTTTGTTGGGGTACAGCCAGAAAATAGAGAGAAAAGCCGAGAGGATAGAGCTATGCCAAATCTGCGGGGGAGGGGGGGGGGAGTGAATACTGTCGAGAGATGCCGATATCCTCATAATTATCGAAATCAATCCGGAAACTTGTGCGGAATCGGCGTGTTATCGGAATACATGCACGAATACCTCGGGATCTTATTTACCTCGAGGAGGAAGCGCGGAGAACTCTTGTTATTTATATACCATAATGGTTTTTTATAATAAACGTGGGGAAGGTATTTTAAACGTTCGCATCGAAGGTGAAACTTCGCTTTGGAAAGTTCCACAGCTTCGCAGGAATAAATATTTAACGTAGATAAATATAAAACGCTTTACGCTTCGTAGCCGAAATAACGATCTGAAAAGCAGAAGAGGAGTGGGACGGGAGAGGGGGGAGAGGATCTTTGAGCTATGAATTATTTTTGCGACGAACGATCACATCGGTGGGGGGGAGCGGCATCGCATATTCCGTTTGAGTTTCCATGTGTCTACATACTCCTTTGACATCGTCGCCATTTCGAGTGTTCTTCTACCACGTGGGAATTGATTTCAACGTATCCGCTACCTTCTTTCCGCCGCTCATCGTCGGCAAACGGATGACCCCGTTTCTAAGACAGGATATAAAAGGATCTAATTACACGAATGAAAATAGGAGTTCTGGTTGGGCAGAAATGGAATGGATCCTCGCCTAAGCGCGAAGAAGTGAATTTATTACACGCGCGCTGTCGGGAAATTTCTACAATCAACCAGGATTATTTTCAAGACGAAAACCGCGCGCGCGCGCCACTTTCTGAATTGCTCTCTCGTTAGTATTGCGCGATTATTCTTCCACCGTACATTTCGTCCTGGCAATTCCCGCAGCGGGCTGCTTATTATCTTCCATTATCTTTTCATTTACAAAATGTTCATATTTAAAGAGGACCGCGAGACCGTGCTTTAAAATTTTTTTTAAATCACACGTCCGCATTCACCGCCGCCGTCGCCGCCGCCGTCGCCGCCTAGAGAGAGATTCCGTATCACGTTTATTGCACGTCCCCCGTTCTATTTTACATCGATTTCCGATACATCGGTTATCACGAGCCGTGGATAAAAATCCGGCCGTGAAAATCGTGTTACGAGGGAGGGAGGGGACGCGTAACTCGAGAGAGAAAGAACTCGGAGTTCATTAGTCGCCGTTTGACGATCACGACGATATCAGACTGAAAAGAAGCTAGCGGCGGAACGAGTAAACCAGATCGCGTTCCAAACAAAACACTATGAGAACGAGCAGAAAGCATCGAGCAATTTTATCGATCCCGAACAATGGGCATTGTCGAGGGCTGTCGCATTGTTGCAAGCAGATGGTAAAGGATAATCCGCCATTACGTCGGGAAAGAGGTATCCTCTTTGTGCTCGGATGTCTCGGATTAAATTGCGGAAGCGGTATCGACTCGCGGAAGCATCAGATTCCTTAATTATACGATTGCGTGTCATAGAACGTCCTGTGTTTGGGAGGGTAGCGTCGAAAATGGCGATCGTTTTCGCGCGGCACAAACGAGAAAATGAGAAGAATGAATTTTGCATTACATTGCGCGATCGTGCGTTGAATCGGCGAAGAGGGAGGGAGAGAGAGGAGCGACAGTGAAAAATATATGAGCATAGTCAGGCGCGCGTCTGCGCGCGCGCGTATTTACCGTAACTACCGCGGCATATCTCAGGATACACGTGGTGCACTCGCTGTGCACCGACCCGCGCGAGCACAACTTCCCACAATATCCCTTCGACAAGTANGGGGGGGGGGGAGGGGGGCGATTAATCTTACCCGTCTTCGCGCACAAGCTGCTCTCTCCGTATTTTTTGTCGCCCGACCTCTTCCGAGCTGACTCGAGACTTTCATAATTCGATGTCTCACGGGTCTCAGCGATTTTCCGTGCGCCCACCGTAATCGTAAATCGTGATTCTCCGGGTTCAGCGGACGGGAAATTATATTGAGAGGGGGGAAAAAAACGCCGTTTCATGGCTGTTTACCTTGCATTGGGAGAAAAAGCGAGGAGAAAGTACTACTAACGTGGCTACGTGGACGTTAAATATATATATCGCCGCCGCTCCACAGAGCCCGCGCCATGGCTTTATCGAAAGAACGTCGAGTATATTTAACAGGATAATCTCGCTGCATTATTTCATTCCGGTCAGCGGTCGCTTCAGGTGCAGACCACGTGCACGGGAAATTTCCGACAGGATAATTTTGCATCTGCCCAGGCTGCTCGCCTCGCAAGAGAAAGAGAGAGAGAGAGAGAGTCGACAGGGCCCCGGTACGAGTCATTGTACGGAATAGCAGTTCAAGTTAACAATAGTAACGTACGTACGTACGCGCGCTTCCGAGAGTTTAATGCGCGTAAAACGTATCTTTGACGTAAAACAAAATATTAGATTTCCTTCTCCGTACGCGGAGAACCACGAGCGCCTTTGTAAGTGGAAAAGGGCCGTGACTGCTCGGCCGTTTTTGCCATCGGAACGGCACCCTGCGAATCCTTTCGGTTTCTCGAAATGAGAAAACTGCAATTTATACCGCTGTTCCGCTCGACGATTTTGCACATTGTTTTTCATAGACGTCGCGCGAGCGCGGCCTGTAAGCGCGCGTCCGCATAAATTTCCATCTATAATTTAAAGCGCGCGAATCCGCCGCAGCCCTCTCGAATGCACAGACGTCAGCCTCGAAGGGACCTAATTCCACGAGAGTTCGTGGGTGTCGTACAGTTCGAGAGACGCTACATAAAGGTAAACGCGAAGTTTCCCCTCCAAGTTGCGGCCGCGCAATGGGGTATCCTTGACTCGCGGCATGCGGTGCTTCTACTTCTCGCAAAGTTTTCTCTCCGCAATTTCCCCGCGTCCGGGCGCGGCTCGAGGCCGCGAAACTCGAGCTCGCGAAAACCGAAAAGGATCTACGCGCGACTCATACCGCAGTTTCGGGCGTGTGTTCGCGCGATATTGTCAACGTTTGTCGATTCTTATCCGCGCGCTACTCCCGAAGAGAGACGGGGCCGCGGGATTAGGCGAGGATTCAGCGAAATTTGCGGCGATCGCAGCCATCGTGGCGGTAAACAACGCGATAAATCGTCCCGCGTCGATAGCTCCTAATTCAGCGGAAATTGAGATACAAGTGGCGGTTGCTGCTGGATGTATCGACCGATGCGTAGCAACATCGGTGGCTGGCAAAGGCAAAAGCCGGCTCTCCCTCTCATTTTCTCTCTCTCCCCCTCTCTCTCTCCCTCTCGCGTCCGGGGACAATGCGTTCACCCGTCAAATATTCGACGGATCCAAATGCGCGTCGCATTTGCGCGACGAATTTTATCGAGCGATTTCGCAGCACCGCCGTGATTCCGCCGTGCTTAATTCGCGATTCGCATGTAGATCCCGGGTAAAAATGCGCCACGCTCGTGCTGTTACCAGTTGAACCATTGTTTCCAATAAACATAGAGATTATTTTCAACTGTATAACATCGAGTGTCGGAATAACCGAAATTATACTGCTTTTCCATGGACGGCGGAATCAGAGCGTATTTTAACGTGCAGTACGTGAAACGCAATACGCGGAAACTAGCTCTCCCCCTCCTGGTGCCAATATCGGCAAATTTTTGTAACCGACGAAAAAATAACGAATGTTTTATTCACTGCAAAGGAAGCCGTTTCCGCCACATCGTCGCAGCGATCGATACACGTTTCAATGATAATATTGACACCATATTCAAGATTTTAATTACGTTTTCTTTTATGATACAATGTTATTTTATTATAAATACCACGATATTTCCGTGGTCCTTGCCGGGATTACGTTGGATTAACGCTGAAATCAACGCGGATAGACGGTTCTCCTCGGAGCGCCCCTTCGGGCGGAGTCAGGCCGAGATTGCGAGTAAAGTAAAAATTAGATCGCGAGCAGGTGCGATCCGTGGTGCCGAGTAATGTTGTCGGCATGATCCACGCCTTTTTATACTCGTGTACTGGCCGGGTGATATCCACAAATATAGGGGGAGTATCTGAGTAATACCCGGATACCCAAGACACCGGTATTACCGATGGATACTCGAGTAATATACCCATATTATCGAGTATTACTCGGCTATCCGTGTGCCCATATTCGCGGATATTACCCGGGCAACCAAGCAAAGAGAGATTGTTTCTTGTCGCCGTGCATCACACGTCACCCCGCGCTGTGTCATCTCGCGACGCCTTGCTTTCGCTGAGATTATGATACACTTTCTACAAAATTGAACTTAGCCGCAAGTCGCCTCACGTGTGTAGACGTACGAATGCAAAATTTGGGACATGCCTTTAATTTTATTATTGTGAGACGGCAGTATATTCATCCGTCCTTTGTTATTGTTAAAAGAATTAATAATCTCGCGATTTGAAATTAACCGTATACTCGAATACCCGAAAGATGCGGCTGCAGCTCGCATGGAAAGAAGGAATTAGCTGTCCGTAAAATACAACTGAAATTTAATTACCAGACCTAGATTTTAACTCTCACAGTTTCTTTAACTCTGTACCAAGTACAGGGACGAGAAAGGATTAGCTGAATTAACTAAATTTCAGTTTCGGTATTATATTCGGATAGCTAATTTTTACTCGTGTGGAAGCTAGTTTTTGAATTGTGAAAGTTAATTCTTCCCTTCCGCGCGGTTATAACCGGATAATACCGAAAAGATTCGATCAGCCGGGTAGCCGGAATTCAAACAACAATACCAGCGCCACGAGACGTCGCAATGAAGGGAAGCAGCTCACCTCCGTGTCGTTCCACCACATATGGAGCCGGTAGTCCCTGAGTATCGTCGGATGCTCGTTGATGTGCTCCACCGCGAGCTTCACCGCCGGCATGACACCGCGGCCGATGTGGCCCTCCGGCACGTGGTTGCCGTACGGGAAGAAACCGGCGATGTAGACGTCGCGCTTCCTGCTGCCGCCGAGATTGATGGGTTTCTGGCCGGCGCATTGACCGACGACTATCAGCAGCCAACACGCGGCCAGCAGCAGCATGATCGGCGAGCGACGACTCGTCCCGCCGTGAATACTCGCCGGCATATCTTCGGCCGTCCTCTTCATCCGACCAGCAGCCCTTCCGACATCTCGCGATCCGGACGGAGCGCGCGCTTTCATCTCGAGCCCTTCCGGGTCAGCGGGTACAAGCCGGACGATAAGCCCGACGCGACGCACGTCGCCGTTCGTCCGCTGACTTTCGCTCGCATGACGAAAAACCACCACCGGTGCGGGATGGACTGGACGATACCGCGCGGGCGATCGATTTATCGCGACGATCGCTCACGACGGACGAGTTAACGTGCGCTGCATTTCGCGCCGGACACCTTTACGCGATTGTCTTCGCGCGAACTCTCGACGGCAGGACTCGGCCGTGCGACCGCTCGAGGCATGCTTGTTACCTTTGTCGGGAAATCGGAATACCAATTAACGCGCCCAGTGACGCGAGATTCTCGCGGATTGATGAGTGAGCTCCCGCACGCAGGTACGTGTCCGTTCTCGCGGGGGTGTAGCGGTTTAGAGCGGAGGGAGAATCGCGAATTCGACGCGCAGTCCGGGATAAAACGGACGACAGATCCGTCGTTTCCGCGATCGGAAACCCGCGGGGGCTTTGTGCGGTCGACGTCCGATACGAGGACAGCGGGCGGAAACTGCCGATACTTGGGTGAAGAACACGTCGCCCATGTACCGCTTCTTTATTGCGAGTCTCGCGGCTGTCCCGGGGGAACCCGTCGTAAACGTCGCGCTCCGTCGTAATGCGCGGCGCCCTTTATCTCAATGTTTCATTCCGGACGATCGCACCTTGAGCGCCGTGGTGTGCTCAAGCCGTGACGCCGCGGCTGACAGTTGCATCTGCAAGCAGGCAAGCGCAATTCGTGGGAATTATTCGTTTCAGATCAGGCGAGTTTCGAATTCGATACCGCTCGGCGGGAGGGGAGCGTGTCGGGAGTCAACGTAGCGATTGCCGGAGACCGAGCGCGGTTAGATACAAGTGCCTCCTCGCACTGAAGATTAATGAGGAACACGAATAAGGTTAATGAGGAATAATGGAACTCGATGAAGAATCGAAGTACGGGAAATCTCGCGCCCGGGTTGCACCTCGAGTGATATCCTCGAGAGCCGTTGAGCCTCGCCGTTAACTTCATCGATACTCTCCCCTTCTCTCCGTTTATTATCGCGATGCATTTGCCCGGGGAAAATGCAAACGCGGCATCACGTCTCGTCGATATCCGTCGAAAATCAACTCGCAAGTGAGTTAGATCCCTCTCTCCCTCTCTCTTCGAAATAAGCCGTTCGAATCTATTTAAGTACCTGTTACCACGGCGCGGCTTTAACGTGTCGCCGTTAACGCTCGCGCGATAACGTGCGTCATATCCGAAATTAGAGGTTTATCTCGTTCGGTGTCATCCACGTACCGCGCCGCCCGAGGGAGGATAGAGAGGAGGTGGCGGGGAGAGAGAGAGAGAGAGAGAGCAAGAAAGCCGGTTCGATTTAAGGACTACGAGACTCCTCTCTCTCCCTCCTTCTCTTGCGCGCGCGCGCTATCAAAGTAGATAAATAAAGTTCACGATTCTATCTAAAGTTTAATCCCGCAACCGCGAGGCGCTATCGAGTCGGGCAAAGGGTTGAAACCGCTTTACATTGTCGCCGTTAACTTACCTCCGTCAGCCGACCTGGCCCACTTTCCGCCATTGCGCACTTGATCCGCGCGACGCGAAGCCCGAGCTTTCTTGAAAATAACATATCCTCGGAACGGGAACGACGACGACGACGATGTCGAATTTAGCAATCGCGACGGGTCGTCGACGTCGCGCGTCTTCTCCGACGAACGACGTCGTCGCGTAAGTACGACACCGATAGCATCATACAAACTTTCCCATTTCTTCGGCCGGCACGTATCCTGGAAACGCGGGAGACAACATCCCCCCTCCGATTACAGGCGGAATCGAGTAGATTTATTTGCGTCCGCGAGGACGGAAGCGAACGAGCGTGTTCCATCTCGGTCCGATGGGAAAAAATAAAATAAAACGTCGGCGATCGCTCGAGAGAAATCTCGTATGCGCGAAACATACATGTTTCAGCCGACAATTCGAAGCTTTTTCGGCCGCTCGCGAGCCAGTTAATAGCGTCGTCGCGCTATTATCTCACACGACAGGCTCTAACGACACACCGTCGTCGTATTATCATCTTACAAGATTGCCGGACGGTGAAGGATGATCGGGAAAATTGAGATGGAAAGGGCTGGATTAGGGTTGGAGAGGATTGATGGCGTTGTTCGAAGCGGAGGAAGATTATAGGGATGTTAATGGCTTAGGAATCTATCCGTAATGAACATGGATTTGAGGTTGATGCAGCTACGAGGGGTTGGGGGCGGCTCGAGAGGAAGGCGAAAGCCGGTCACACAGTATTTCGGGAATGTGTGAAACGAATCTGCTTAACGCGATTCCTGTAGGAAGAGAAGGAGGAGGAGGAGGACGAGAGAGAGGACGGATAACGCTCTTTAGTAAGAGGGAGAAAGCCCGCCGCTGTCAATAATTGGAAAGGATGATAGAAGCGGTCGAGGTCATACCGGTAACTTTTTTATGGAGATCGGCAGCGCGCCAGAAGAAAAAGCGAGAGGATGCGGTGGAGAAAAAGTCAATGGCTGCGGACGCGACCCGCCACTAAATTTACACGGGATACCTTTTTATTTTAACACGTCTCTCTCTCTCTCTTTCTTCTTTCTTCTCTTCCCTCCCGAACTTCGGTCGCGGATATCACCAAGTTTCCTCGAGGTAATTTTTCAGTCTCTCTTAGCCACCGGCTTTTGTTATCCCGGTAAACTTTGCGTACACTTGATAAACATTCGCGAAACTCGGCGCGATGCGCGCGCGAGCGAGCGAGCGAGCGAACGCGCGCGTTCCTTGAAATTCGAACGAAACTCCCGCAAAAATATATGCGTTACGAAGAGCCGGAAACTTTCTTCGAAACTATGTTGAACCTGATAAGTTAGGCGGGTCGCATGGCGGGTCGCATTAACGGAACGGCCATTTCGCTCGGCGAGATTTCAAAGTTACGCTCGGAACGCGATAGCTTTGATCCTAACGCAACTAAGTAAGAAAGAGATACGAAATGAGAATCCTGCCCGCATCTTGCAGCGAGCAACTCCCTCTCATTCTGATCCTATTTTATAATTATAATATCTTACGAACATATGACTATAACTTCAAAACCAAAAACGTTCACGTGTAAATTATTATTTTTAACAGTTGCAAGTCTGCTTCACGGAGAAAAATATTTTGCTGGCACAGTGAATTGTTAGTTATTACGGGGACGGCAAAAAAAGAGATTTATTAATGGTATTAATTTCTGTTTGCTGGATACATGGACGGCAAAACAATTTGGTCATGCCAATTAAACTTGATCGTCGTCGCAACATTTCGCTGGAAAGGCAAAATTATTTTTTTCCGTGTAATAAATTTTTTTCCTGTCACTACAGCAGCGAACAAGTTCGCTGTGCCAGGAAAAAATATTTTCCTTCGTGTTCAATATGACGATGGGCGAAAGAAATAAAAGAAATTTTGCAACAAATTGAAAATCACGCGCTCTCCTGTCAGGAAATGGGAATCGATTTCTCGAGATGAATTTAATGGAGAGCATGTCGGACTGATCGAATCTTCCGCGAAATTAGTGGCTATAAAATTTGAACGTGCTTCGATCGTTGTCGCGATTGGCCGATGCGTCGAGAATGGCTCGCAGAACGACCTCGTGCGGTACTTGAAATGACGATCGATGCATTCCCGGTTGACTTCCTACCTTTTAGAGCGTACGTCGATGTTCTGCCGATGTAGAACGTGACGTTATTAAAGCTGCTTAAGGCGCTCCTAGGAGTTCCACCAATGATACGAAATGAAATTTAAACTCCGGACGAGGATCTAATCGAGATTCCAGGATGATCTCATTCCAAGCGCGATATTAATATAGAGCTGGAAGTAAGTTACTTCTGACCATTCAAACATCGTCGACCTCGCGGCATTAACGAGGCAGAAGTAGCTTTGAAATAACTCAATGTCCCGCTCGTTGCCTCGAATCTCGCTTCAGAGGAGACTTATTAGAATCGTCACGCAATTACGAGTTTCGCGACTGTAAGGGTTTTTGCGGAAGTCAATTATATCGCAGTTGCGCTCTCCTAAATCCGTTCAAATCAGAAGTCGATCGAGCGAGAGATGCGGACGGGGGAACTAAAGGACGGAAGAGAGAGGGAAGCGAGAGCGCGAAAAAGAGCGATAGAGCGAGAAAAAGGGCGAGAGAGAGAGAACGAGAAATGGTATAACGTCTCCCGGCGGGCATTCCAAAGGTTAAATGTATTGCCGATACATTTTTAATCACGTCCGTATCATTCCGGCGCCGTCGCGCCATTCCAGTCTCACGGACGATCATTAACCGTCAGCATTTGCCGCTCAATGGATTCGTTCGTTCGAGCGCCACTTTCCAGTCTCATTGTCAACAACCTCAACCAACGGCCTCGGCGCTCTAACACGCCAAGAGCGCGATATTGTGCCGTGCCAAGTGCCCCGCCTGAGATGACCTACAATTGCTGTTTAAGTGGTCCGGTACGAAGCCAGTTATTACACAGTCGTAAATGGTCGCGTTCAATTTCCGGTCGCGAAACAACCCTCCTTGTCCGAGGACTCTCTCTCGCTTTTCCCGATGACAACGGAGTGCGCGCGCGAGAGTCGCCGCAGTTTTAAACGGCAAACAACCGTGCGCTTCCTCGCGAGACATCGGACGTCACGTCGAGCGATTCTTCCCGTTCTTTTCCCTCGCCTCCCCCCTCTCGTTTCCCCGAGCTTTCGTTTCTCGTTACACGTTACGAGTGTTACGAGCGCATCGCGGTCGATCCCGAACTTTCCAGAGGAAGTACGACCGTGCCTCAGGAGCGCCCGTCTCCATTTTTAATTCGTGTCACACAACGACGACCACCACCACTCCCTTGTCTCGACCGAACAATTTCTTTTCTCTTTCGGCGCGTCGAGTCCTTGTGACATTCAAAGTTTCAGTCCACCAAGGGGGTGGCAACGGGGAGGGGTTGTTAGCTCAAGCCCTCCATCCCCCGGCCGTCTTGCAGCCCGTTTCCGGCTCCGTTTTCCCCGTGCGCACACACAGCCACTTTAACCGGAGAATACCGCCACGGCTCCTTCCGTCGTGATGCCACCGTCAGCATCGTCACCGCTCCCGGGATCTTCAGGGTACACAAACACTTAGCCGCCTTTTCAGCTTCGGTAATGCGGAAGCACTCCCCGTCATCCGCCGTCCCCTCGTGCGCCTGACGCGCCGGCGGAAAGAGGAATATAATTTTCTTAGTTTAGCACGGCTGTGTTTATTGTGTCAGCCGGCAGAGAGAGAGAGAGAGAGGAGATATCGAACGTGCGCGCTCGTTTACACTCGCCCGCGCGTGCCACCCTCTCGCCCGTGAAACCGGCTCCTCTCTCGCGTGCGTGTAACTCGTCGAAAAAAAAATTTCAAGCACGATCGCGTCCCGATGAAACGCGATTCCGCCACGGAAGCATCGCTAAAAAGGTCAAAGAATTCCCCCTCCCCCCTCCCGTACCTCGCGACTGAGTCCGACTCCGCGAGACGCGCGGCTGGAAACTTCAGCCGCGCGGTTTTATGTCTAAAAATATGAGCGACAACCTGTACGACTGTGTCGACGGTCTGCAAATACGCCCTCAAAGAGATGACACGTTCCGTCACGTTTGACAAATCCCGGCCACGGTGGCAAATTCATAAATTTTTCCAAAGCGACGACTACCACCATCTTGGCGAGGGAATATCGCCGCTATCAGTTACGGCGGAACCACATTTACAGGTACAAGAACGTATAAATGTTGCGCCACCGCCGGTCCCAGGAGAAGTATAAATCGCCGGCGAACCGATTGTCTCTAAATAATTAATTCCGCCGAACCGGCCATCGCGGCCGCACTATCGTTCGCAAAAGCTCGATCAATATCGAATAACAAAACTGTCAAAAATAAAACGTTAGTTGTCGGTTAGCGAGGCCGGAAAAATGGTGAAGCGAGGCGGGCCGGACAGGCGAGCGAGGCGGACGGACGGGCAAAGTCGCGCGCAGTTTGTCAATTTTTCACGCGATCGCTCTCCCGGTTCGCCTTCGAATTTGTTTTTCTCCGGCGGCCGCTGTCGCGAATGTTCGCTTCCTCTCACCCTCTTTCTCCGTAAGTAGGTCCGGAAGAATCCGACGCGAGCGGAGTTATATCTAACCTCTAAACCGATACGTTCCCCCTATTGATCCCAAAAACAAATTCGGGGACTGGCCGTGGGGCAGCAGCGTAAAAAATTGACCAAGTGTGCGCGGCGACGCTCTGCTATTCAGCGCCGGCCAGTCATGCGCGTCGTCGTTTAGCTTAACGTCCCACGGCCACCCTACCGTGTCTCTATTTATCGGGAGAAAAATCTCTATTCTTCAATCGTAGTGGTTTCCGCCCGGCCGTGAGCACCTCGGAAATTCCCCGGTAATTTTTCCGACAAGCGACGTTTAGGTGGCACCCCGCCGTAAAGACACCGCGGTATAAACGCGGGAGGAATCAGTCTCCGCTTGCGCGCCGCTTGCACGCCGCTATCTCAACATAGATGTCATCTCTATGTATATATAAAACGATCGTCCGCTAAATAAATTACCTCGCGTCCGCAACCTTCGCCGTGTGTGTACAACCCCCGTTCGGGACGTATCCGCGAGGAACTGGGGAAACATTATCGAGCGATTCTAAAGCTGGTATGTTTGCCTATCAGTGGTAGAGAGAAAGAGAGCGATCGGGCACGTCGGCTGCCGTTGAACGATCTTCATTGACGTGATCGTTCGCGGGATAGATATCAGACAGACAACGGGCATTCACGTGCCGTCTCTCGAGCGAACGTTTCGAGACAATCTCGATTTCTGCGACTTATCGCGAGCGGTAATACACTTGTCGGAGGGCATCAACTTCCTCCGCGGATCGCGTCGGAGCCGCGCAATTGTTCGCTCTTCGATCTCTCCCTCCGGTTGTATGTGTGGTGTACGCGACGCGCTCTTTCTCTCTCTCCTTCCTACCCCCGAATCAGTCATCGGAGAGCGGGATCGCGCCTCTCCGTAAGCGTGGGAATTTTTATCGGTGCTCTTGATCGTGAAATTAACTCGATGTCGGCAATATAAGCGGCGGATTAAGGCGCGTGTGATTTAAATATTCAATCCGGCACGGTAATATCGAACTTAATAGCCGCGGTATAAAAATAATGCCGTCGTTAAAGAGCAAGTACAACTCGGGCCGTAGCGTCGCGCGAGTTCCATTTCTGCTTCGCGGAAAAACTTCGTCATTGATAATCGAAAGTTTCTCTTTTTCTCCCTCTTGGCTCGGAGCGAGTATGAGTGCTTAACTGGTAGCGATACGCGCGCGAGTCACGCGACTTAATTAAAGCGGCGTGGAACGCGAGACATTCGGTTGCACCGCTACTTAATCCATTCATAATTTCATTATGTTTCGTCATGGAGCAATTAGATGGATTAAACAGATAGAATCAGGGAGGGGAGGAAAGACGCGTGTCTCGGTCAATTAACCGCGGCTAATTAGGCTCTAGTGAACGCCAGTACGTTGTTTTGCGCCTTCGAGATCGAGATCTGGTCTGGAAACGCGACATTTATCTTTCATTCTTCCGTTCGTTTCGCTCGTGAAGCGAGTTTACCTATCGATCATCGACCGAAGGCTACCGCGGTGCTACGAAATTTAATAAAACATCCGCAGAATGCGGAGCGGAAGGTATACCCGCGCTTTCGGCTGTGCGGCCCAGAAAGCCGCGGGGCGTTTTGCGTTAATTGCATTACGATTAATCGAATTTCGCGCATCACTGCGTCGCCACCGCGCGATGTGGCGGCCGTTGCGAGTGTCAACGACCACGAAACTGATTACACTTTTAATCTCTTTAAGCCCTAATGCGCCGAAAAAAAAAGGTAATATTCTCAAGTGGAATGCACGCAAATGCCACGAACGCGCGCACGCATCGCGTCGAGAGAGCTCGAACGTCCGCTCCCACCTTTAATTCGCCGAACTCGCTTCCTTTTCCTCCTCGAGCTAACCTCGAGAGGATCCTAATTCCAACCTCTAATTCCCATGCTCTCCGTTCTCGAATCCATCAAGATCGAGCCCTTAATCACTCCGAGGGCGGCAATCTAATTCTAGTTTTGGAACCTTTCTCTTTCTCTCTCCGCCTCCCTCGTGAGCGCGATTTATAACGAATCCTAATATCTTGGAGCACGCGACGACGACGACGACCACAGCTCGAGAAGCAGCACCGCATAAGCAAGGCACACGTACCTATCGATCCGTAATCGCTCTCTTGGCGATTCCTCTTCTTGCGCTCTCCCGACGTAGTCTCTCGCGTGCGTGTCGATCCCGTAATTGCTGTAACAACGAAGAGGCGCGAAGAGAGCTCGCGCTGTGCCCGGGAAGGAGGAATTGATCGGCGGATAGCACCGCCGGCGATTATCCCGCGCACCTGCCGCCGAATTGTCATACCACGTATCTCCCGTCGTCCCGAATATTCGCCGGCCGACGAAACCGCTTAACGCCCGGAAATTAACTGATTACGATAGCGTCGCCGAACGCGAGCGCGACGATGCCCCGTCGCGCGCGGTACCGAGAAGAGGATCGTCCGCACGCCACACACACACACACACACACTCTCTTTCGCGCCGACCTTCGGACCGCCTAATATCGCGCGACCGTAATTCCCGAGCGGAGGAGAAATGAATTACGGGCCCGCGCCGGTCGCGCGCTGCGAGATCCTCTCGTCGTACCGAAGATGAGCCCCCGCGATACGCTCGTCGACGACGTGATTGATTTGGCGCGTCACGCGAGCGCGCACGACGTCGCGAACACCGCGATACCTTCGTTCCTCCGGATCGCGCGCGACCGCCGCCGCCGACCGCTGGCTGGTCGCGCGTGCCAAAGCGGGTGGTTGACCGGGTTACACGCGTCAACGTAGATCAAGGTCCGCAGGCGGGCGAAGCGTGTGTGGGGTGGTTCGGCCGCACGAAAGCCCGAGATCCCGGTGAGAGAGACGGCGAGCGAGCGAGCGAACCACACCGCGGCCTCAGGTGGAAACGTCTAGAGACGACGAGCCGCAAGGTTAGCCAGCCGCCGCGGATAGGGTCGATAGGGATTTCCCCGTCGTCGTCGTTGTTCACCCCCGCCTCTTCCACGCGCCGTCGATCAAGCCTAGGGTGCCGCCGCGCTGCAGCCTGCTACTCTGTGGACAGTGTCGTCGCGAGCCGGCACGACGTCATCGCCACGACGACAGCCATTTGTGACGCCCTTTGCGCGCACGGGGCACTCGAGTTTCCGCGGGCCGCGCGTTCCGCCCATCGGGTGCAGCGCGAGTGCCGCGGAGAGCGATAGGGATCGATCATGCCACGCGACGGCGCTCTCGCACGGTCGTCCGCCGAACTGACGAGCCACCCTGAGAACCGCGGGCTCACCGAACTCACGGCGGACCCTCTCTCCTCCGCAGCCCCCATCGCCTACCCCCTCTCTTTCTCTCGGTGCTGCTCCGACTGTCCTACCACTGGCAGTTCCCGCGGACTACCCCCTTCGCGTCCCCCACCCTATGCGTACCTACCCTTCCCCCAACCGTCCTCTCTTTGCAAAGGGGTGCTCTCTCGCCGACGGCGGTAGTGCCTCCTAGCTTCGCTTCCCCCCTCTCACCCTTCGCGCTATCGCGGCCGCCGGTGAGTAGAAAGAGGCTCGATCGGCTCCGACCCCGACTTCGCTTCGCTCTCGTCGCGCAGTGCTGCCCTGAAGGGGGGATTTTGCCGCCTGGATCGTTGCAATCGTTTCGGAAAATTCAACAAACGCGATCCTGCGGCAGAGAGATCGTTTATTAAGCGACGACTCGTATTAACGCTCTCCGGCGCGATATTACTCGCTCGTTATCCCCTCTTATTTGCATCCCCGAGGAAGTGTCGCCGGATATCTCGACTGTTAATTACTCCCGAGTCGTCCCCGTCTTCTTGCGCACGGCTCCGTCACGAAGCGAAAGATCGCGCCTCGCCTCGATAATATCCCTTCGATCGAGGACGTTCCTCTCGCCAGCTGAAACAAGGCGATATTCGGTGCGTCCGATACAAGTGTGTCCGAGGTAATGCTTTCCCTTTGTGCGGATGAAAAAACAAATTGTTAATGTCGCCCGTTCGGACTGCGTGTAGGTCGCGCCTCGCCTCGCCGCGCCGCCATCCACTTCGTTCCACTTCGCCCGCGACAATTTACTGCAACAATTTAGCCGCACTCTTCCACAGTCGGGGCCGAAGGGCCGGCCCTTTGAAGTACGTTTCCCGATAATTTGATCGCTCCCATCGGGACGATCTTTTCTCTCCTCCAGCCCCCATCGCTCTCCCGCTTGTTCGCGCGCGTCCGCTTCTTTCCACTAGACGAACCACCCAGTAGATCGACCTCGCCTCCCCGGCGAGATAGCGCGAACTTCCATTGGCTCTTAATGCAATTACTGATAAATACCGTCGTTTCCCTCCCCCTTCCGCGAAGTCACTCGATAACGGCGCGAACGGACCGCGATATTACTCGGTACTTTGTCCTCCTCCGACTTGCTCTCTTGACGGGGGAGAGGTAGGCGACGTCGGGATGAATGAATGCGTATCAATTGATTAATATTCGCTTAAAGCGGACGAGAGATTAAACCGGCGATCCCGACGACACGTCCTCCTCGTCGGGAGCCCGCTATTTTTCCGTTACGTCGTTACTCTTTTTCACGTCGTATTATCCGAGCGCGAATCGCGCGCGCGCGCGTATATTACTCGGGTCTCTTCTATATATCATCCATAGCTATAATCGCGGACGGCCGCGATAACGTTTTACTCTCTCGCTCTTCGCGGCATGTTAAGGTCGAGCTGCTTTCCGCCGATCGTACGTCGGTACAACTGTAACTCGGCGGACGTTTAATAAAACAATCTCCCGGGAATCGTATCTGTACGTTTTCCCCCCTCTCTCGCGCGCGCCCCGCGAACGTTTCCCCTAATCTCGATTCGACAGAAATAATTACGGCACGGAGCGCCGGGCGCGCGCGCGGGCTTTAATGGAAAAATGTCATAACGCGCGATGCATTTGCAAATCGTTTTAATGCTATTCAAGATGGCGAGGCTCGCCTGTCACGCTCCAATAAACGCCAGACTGATTTTCTATGTTATACGGGCGCGCGCGATATATATCGTCCAAACGTAATATATAATAAATTATATATATATATATATGTATATCCCCTCACGCATGCGATAGCCTTGAATTGACGTTCGCGTGCATGCTCTCGACATATCGTTACCGCCTGTCACGATGCTCTAATTTTTGCACTGTGGCAAATTGTATGACGCGCGAGAAATATAATGCCCCCTCCTCCCCCCTCGCCCTTTCTCCCTCTCGCATGCGGAAATATATTTTTATTATATACGCGGAAGTGCGTGGTACGCGGAAGCGCGAAATGAAGTTTATTGCGGACGACCCTCGTAACTCTCGCGCGCGTAACTCGACTTTTACATACGTAAATACAACATATCCACAACCAAATTGAATTTTTAAGTTCGCCACGCGAAACGAAATCCATGAGACAGCTGGAATCGTAATTTGCCGATGCTGTTGTACGTCGGTGTTTAGAACAACGTACGACGTGCAAGGAGGGGGGAATGTTGCCGTAATATTCGCATCGCAAGAAAAAGGCTGAGAAATTTTGCATAAAGCCGAAAATATCGTGCGTGGAGCGGCGTTGACTCGAGCATGAAAATAACAACGCTTAACCCCCTGGTGTGCCCAGGCGCGACCAGGCGGCGCGTTAAAAACGGCACATACACGGTTTATCCTTCGTCTCGGCTATGTATGCAAATTTCAAGGGTGGATTCTACACACTATCGTTGAATTATGTATAGGCGATGTATATGCTTCGTTTGGCTCCGCCAATAGGGCAATTTCAAAGAGCACTGGTCAATTTGTCGGCGCGACATCAAAAATGTATAAACGCCGTCGTCGTCGATGCGCGTTGAATACGGGATCGCAATTGCGGCTTATAACAAGTGACGCGCTAATTATAAATTCACGCGTCCCTGCGCGTCTAGTTGGCGAACGACAACGGGCCGTCCTCCGTGCGATCGAACGTGCGATGACGAGATTATGAATTTGCGGAATAAACAATCCCTTTATTTATTCATTGTTTAATTATACACCGACCGCGCGATCATTCGCCGGTCGAAACTATCGGTATCGATATTTCGCGATATATGCAGCGATGACAGACCATTGGCCTGTCATCGAGCCCTTTATAAATTTTCAATGAAATCTCAATCGGGGGCGAATTCACGCGTGAGTGAATCTGTCCTTTTCCGACTTGGCACTAATTATCGAATATCCTGTAATTACGAGAGAGTAATTAATTAAGTATTCGATGGGCGGATAAATGATCGGGGGAGGGCAGGGGGGGATCAAATGCAGCCCAAAGTGTACTCCATTACTAACCGGGGTTAATCGTAAATATATGTTTATTCGAGGGAAAATTCGATGCTGGTAAACAACATCGGGGGTGCGTGCTTGCGTGCGTGCGTGCGCGCGCCAATATTGGAGATATCGCTATCTAATTAATCGACACAGTTAATTAACCACTCCGGAAGCGCAAAAATGTTTTTGCTCGGGGAGCACACGCGAATGCGAACGGGGACGAATTTCAATTTCGACAATGCCGCCAATCACACCGCGGAAAATCAGTTTGACGTTTGATCGTTAACGTTTGACTGTCCGATATATGCGAACAACACGGCCGCTATTGTGTACAGCGGCCACGTTGGTGTCGTATCGCGCCCGTAAGTATGCACCTCTACATATGCGAATAACTCGCACGTGAATTGTAATTTCCCGTTAGGTAGCGTTAATGTTGCCGCGCTGTGTCATTCGCGTTATTCCGCGCGATGACGAAAACGACGAAAATTTGAGCGACGGCCGCGACGAGAATCGGGCACAGTTACGACTTTCGCCGCGTAATTTCGCGAAATGTATAAAGCCCAAATTTCCCAACGTGACCGCTCGCAACCGTCCCCGATCCCGCGGCGGTCCCCTTGTTTCCCGTGCGATTCCTCCCGCGTCAACTTTTTCCCGCGTCCGCGGAAGTATACGCGAGATCAATCTCGACAGGCGCAAACATCGCAGTGAACTTCTCCGCGCGGATGCGGGCGAAGCGAGGAGGCGAGAAGCTGAGTTGAGAAAAAGGGGGAGAAAAAGGAAGAGGCCGGCGATGGGAACTTGGAGGGACTTAACGCCGCAAGGTTGCCGCCGAAAACGGCTGCTTTTACGCGATGCTTTAATGAGATACCCCGACCTCTTAATTACCGCTGTTTTCGCCGGTTAATGAATCGAAACCCCCCGAACTTGCTAGGAACGGCCGAACTTGGTAGTACGCGCGCGCTCCCCCGGGGAAATTTTATATATAATTAATCGCCCTGCTCTTTTGTATCGCGTGTGTATTATTCCCGAAGGTCCCGGTCTATTGTAACGCGCGCCTCTAGTTATCGTTGGATCAGATTGTAGACGAGGGGGTGGG